CCGCCCCTCGATTCCGCGAGAGGAAAAATTTCGAGGAAGTATGTGTTCCGAAAATTGCTAGCTGTTATCTCTGATTGGCTCGACCACGAGCTCGACCGCCGCAAAGTCATCCTCACCAATTTAGGCAAAACATTGCTCGGTGAAACACTGCTAGGAATTGATGGAGATGACTTCCGGAAAAATATTGAGACAAAAATGCGGAAAATTTTCGAGGCACACACACACTACTGTACTTTGAAATAAATCTTAAAAACCCATTTATATTTTTACCATATATTTTATGAGAATAGGTTACATGTATGGCTATGTATAAATGAGATATACGAATACAAATATCCTAAACTGCAACACTTTTTGTCTTTCAAGAACATTTCCTAGTATTTATGTAAAACACATTAAAACATTATGCATTTAACATTATATATTATTATTAAATAATGAGCAAGAGTGACAGCAATGCGGGAAGAGAATGCTGAGGTTCACTATTGAATAAACATGCCTAATTTGAGGAAGTTCTGTTTCCAGTACGTACTGAGACGGTAGGATAGTTTTGAACTAAATATAACTACTTGCTACGTGACTATTTTGCTGTCGTCTTACGTTGGTAAGTGTAAATAAGTTTTTATTGTTTCACAAACTTTTTAATGCAAGCTTTTCTGACTGATCATCTTACTAAAGATAAGAGATATTCCGTACTTTATTATTGCTATTTATTATGTATTTCTTCTAGAATTATTCCATAGTGATTTATACATTTGAGTACTAGTTTGGCCTGAAAAGTTTAGATTGTGAATGTACAGTCGGCGTCAATGAATCGTTTCATGGACGCGGGGAGCTAGGGGTAAGAGGGACGGTATTCCTAGCAGTAAATACTGTAATTGGTCAATTCATCGAAATCTGCTACAGTTAGTTAGTGCGGCGCCCGTTGGCAGTACTTACTCCTAGGGAATACCGTCTCTCTTACCTCTAGCTCCCAGGGCTACGAAACGATTCATTGACGCCGACTGTACCTCGCGAAGCAACAAAAAATTGGGAGGCAGTGTTCGCGTGCGACTTTTGTGCAAAGAACAAAAAATTAAGAAATAAAATTATTTACCTTATTATATTTGATTAATATACATTATAGATCACACCTCATCGATTTTGTTGCGCTTTAGTTATGTTATAGAGCAGATCATACTGAGTAATCATCTAAAACAATTTCGAGGGACGATCTTAGTTTAGGAGATATGACAATTTGAAGTTTCAGAATTTTAATGCTGTACTTTAGATATAATATTATAAGCTGATATTACAAACAGTGAAGTTTGTGTATGTCACCGATGTGTTGAGAAATGTAAACAAAGCTACAAGGTAATTCAAATTGAATTATCTACAAGGTAATTCATAATTAGTCAAGAATCCGTTTCACTATTTTTTTCGCAGTTCGTTAATAGCTTTCAACATGCGACTACGAATTTCTAAGTCTTGTTGAGAACAGAGAGAAATTAACAGATTTTCTTGTTGACCGTAAAGTTATTCATGGACATATTAAATGTCCACGGTGTGGAGCAAATGTAAATTTAAATCGCAAACTTATGTTTTCTATGCATTTACCGAACGTATATAAGCGTTTTTTGTTATTATGGCAAAACATTATCCGCTTTCAATATAAGAAAAAAATAAAAGGTAATTATGCAGTTTAGCTCCTTTTCTCAATTTTGGCTTTTTTAATCCGGTTTTTGTTAAAACCGCTTTATTTCATCACTAAAGTGAAAAATCAATGGAGAGAGTTCGAAAAAAGTTGTTTATAAAAAAGTTATACCTAAAAAAAATTTTACAAATAAATCTTACGTTTTTAAACATCGTGTACGTTTCTCAAGTAAGTACGTTATTTGTACACACCATCGTATACGTATAAGCAGGAAGGGCTTCGCCTCTCCCCCTGCATCCCCCGTAAAATCCTAACAATCGAATTTCTAATGTTATTGTAATATAGTAACGTACATTATACATCGTGACATTAATGATTTCGTAGTAACACAGATTTGGTTAGATTAGGTTAGGTTAAATTAGACTTTTTTTGGGGGGAATGCAAGAAGACAAAGTCTCCCCCCTGCCTACACGTGTACAATAGTATGTGATACAAATAAAATATTTACTTGTGAAATGTACACGATGTCCAAAAAATTATTGCCGCGGAACACGTATAAGTAAAATTCAATGCAAAAGTAGCAACAGTTGTTGGCGGATACCTCGGAAACTAAGCTTAAACGGCTGTTATATGAAGGGAAAAGTTGTTCAAAATCTTGGTTTATAACATATCAAAAATCATCGAGATCGGGAGACCCCGTGAATATAATTATAAAAAATTTTCGAATTTTATGTTTTTTCTAAAAAAGAAGGGAAGCATTATTTTTTTCAAGCTTCCCCGATTGATTCTTCATTGTAATGATGAAATAAAGCATTAAAAAAAAACAAACCGGATTAAAATAGCCAAAATTGAGAAAAGGAGCTAAACTGGATAATTATCAAATAAAATATCTGTATATAAGTCATTCCTTGTTTTTTTTATTTCGTTATTGCATAGAATCCAATTAAATGTCGCTTTATATCGAAAGTGTCTACATGGTTTCTCGAAGGGAGAGCAAGGAAAGGAACAAAGCCACTCCCCCTGCGAGAGAGCAAAGCCCCCTCTACCTACACACTTACAATACGAACAAAAAAAAACATTTAAAAAAATATAAAAATTGTAATAATGTTCAGAAACTGCCATATCTCCAAAACCAAGGCTGTTCCTCACGAAATTGTTTTAGATAATTAGTCATTATGACTTGCTCTATAACATATCTAAGGCGTACCGAAATCGGTGACCTAAAATGCATATTTTTTACAGTAAAAATATTATGAAATTAATAGGTTTACGTTTTATAACGTGTTCATTATGTTCTTCCATATTTATTACAAACTAGTGCATAAAACAGACTTGCCCAAATTAAGCACAGGTGTTTCAAAATAGAGAAGATTGCATAGTTTTAGTATTTTTTTGATAATTTAAAAAATACGTAAAATAAAAATTTTATATTAGCAATAATTATAAAACTAAAATTTATTACTAAACATAAGCTATTATTCTATGTACAATGATTTTTAGATTCAAAAGTATGTAAACAAATAAGATATAAGTTCAAAAAATCTTCCTAAATTAGGCATCTTTAATAGTGTAGTACTGCGTATGCGCAAACGCAAGCGCTGTATATTATACAGCATATATCCTAAACTGGTAGAATATATAAGACAGCTAGCTAAATAATAAATAAAAAAGTTATGTGCTTGTATAATTTGCTATACTCTATCTTTTTACTATTCTTTTACACTTACATTTCACAAACTATTATATATCAAGATATGTATGTTATCTGTTTTGTAAGACGGCCATGCTCTGTTCCATTTCTTTGTGTTGACGAATATGATGACATGTCAATTCGGTTTTTAATTTTACAGTTAAGAAACTCCGATGCATAGACATCATACCTTTTTTGTTTGTATGTCTATGTTGTCGATCGTTTTGGCTCGCTGTACTTGCGCATTAAACAGTCGCTGTGATAACTAGTCAAGTTAGTTGCTGAAGATAATCATCAATTAAAAAAAAGTTTGATCGAAATGTCCTAAATACACGGTGTAAAAAAATTATTTGATAATCCACCGCCAACCGTGGACCATTGGCTCTTTGGGTCATTTCTATTTAATTCAAACTATTATTGTTTTTTTATACACTTTTTATAAATCTTGTAGTAAATTATTTTACGTATTTGTAAGATATGACTCGCTATTTATCACTCTGACGAATCGGCTAAACTAACGATGATTTTATTAATAGTAAAAATAAAAAGAAATCACAACACAATACTAACGTAAAATAGCACGTAACAAAGTGATCGCACGCAAATTATCTTCATTCCTTTTATTTTTTTCTGATATATATGGCATAAAACTCAGCGCGATTCAAAACCCGGAATTACCTTAATATAGTTTTCTTTTAATAAATCAATATATAAATTAATTTTGTTGTTTTTAAAGAAAATATTTAAAATAGTTATGAAAAAACTTATAAAGATTTTAGTAAAAAGGTATATTTTGCACACGTAAAGACTGCATAATAATAGATATTAAAAGAAAACTACATTGTTATATATTATCGGTCGCTAAATATAAGTAAAAAGACGTAAGAATAGTATCTCCAGCGTTTACGGAAATAGTTTTCGAATAGAAGTGTTAATCGCATCGTCGATTTGGAAAGCTATTCTCGGATGTTCAAGAGCATAATGTCTAATTTTGTGACTCTGTAAATTTCCGATTGTGAAGATATCGAAAGCTACTGTCTTATCAACGCAAGAAAGCGCTGACGCATCAGCCGTTAATCACGAAAAGTTCAAGACAAGAGTATAATCCGTCACAGAAAACATAACGCGACTTTTTTCACCTCTTGCTCTAGGTGTGGTCGTTTTCATATAAGAATAAAGAGAAAGATATTTCTTCAACTTGAAGTAAGTTATTTGATTGAGTTGCTATCTTCACTTCCAAAACCAGTATAGAGTGGAACCTCGTTTATCCAAATCTCTTTTATCCGAAAGACTTGAGGTCCCAACCTCTATTATACGAACTATAGATTGAGTCTCGGTTATCCGAACTATATTGTTCCCCGATCGGTTTAGATAAACAAGATTCCACTGTAATTAAAAATGTGATTTATGTTAAACAAAATTTAATTACCAGCAACGAAAAAATTCCGCTGTTATAAAAAATCGAGAAATCGATCATCGAACAAACACGTAGAAAATTAGCTGGCAGGAGTAGAGATGGCCGATTGTGAAAATATAATCGATTTCGAAACAATTCGATTTTTCAAATAATCAATTGTGTTAGATCGATTATTTGGAAAATAATCGGAAAATAATCGATTATTTGTTTTTTTCTTAAATCAAATAAAGACAAAAAAGAAATTATTTTAAACATCTTATTTAGTAGAAAATACCGAAATATTTAAAAGAAAAGTCGCATTGCGTTACGTTCTTTCGTACCTAAAACATAAATTAAAATAATTATTAGGTAATGCAAGTCACAAAGTGAATGAAAAAAATATAATTATTATTAGATATAATTATACATATATCACCTGAACCATTATAGCGTGTATACTCATGCGTGTATACTCATTAGTCTTATTTCAAATATGTTCATTATCTCAACAAAGATGGAAAGTATATGCGTGGTGGGAAATTGTGGATTCTTATGGTGCGTTTTATTTTGATAAATAAAAATACAAATGGAGAAACACATAGAGTGTCAATAAATAAAAAGAAAACAAAGTATATTTAAACATAAAGACATTAAAAATATTAATGTTGTAAAGATATTAAGAGTCGACAAGAATCAAACTGCACTTTTGCTAAAAGTGCATTAAAAAAACTGCTTTCATGTAGTTTAATTTTTTAGAACTTAAGGACCAAATTGCAAAATCTCCGACTTTTTACTATAAAGTTGCGTATTTATATAAAGAATACATTAAAAAAAATCAAGACAAAACATCACTAAATCAGAAGAAAGCAGCGGACGAGATAAACAACAAACTGGAAATAGAAGTTTTTTGTTCGATTACCGATTATTTGCAACCCAAAAACAATCATACAATCGATTAATCGAATTTGTAACAATCGCAAAAAAAACAATCGATTATGAACAAAAACAATTCGATTGTCGATTAATCAAGTCACAATTGGCCATCTCTAGGCAGGAGTTTAAAAAAGAAAAAAAAGCGAGCGAGAAAGAAACATACAATAGCAGAAGGTAACTGGAAGAACAAAGTTAAACCGGCAATACGCGCCTGTCGCTATTTAAACGTAAGATTAGCATGTAATATCTAAAATACAAATAAATAAATATAATCTATAAAAATAAATGCAATGACTAGAGAGAGATATCATAATAACACACGTTTTACTATAAATTACGTAAGTTTCATACATAGACTTGGAGAATTATTTAGAAAAATTATAAATATCTTGTTTTATATTAAAACTTATTCTTTCCTACTTTCGTTTTCTTTCTAAATCAATCAAAATAAAAAACGCATTATTCTTGTGTAGTAATTAACAGAAGAAATACTCGCTCTTAATTTTAGAATTAATTTTATTTAATTAGCGTTTTCACACACCAATCTCATTTTTTAATTGACTGTTAAATCTTAGATCTGTGGCGACTTCAGAAAACGTAAGAACTTTTTTTTATCACCGACACACGATTCATCGCAAGTGTGTCGACGTAATCTTGACTAAAATATGTAAATGTTCAAAGTAAGAAATGCACATCGATATATTGTAGTTGTTTAAGTAAACAGCATGCATTTTTCATTTAACTTCGAGCTGAAAATATTCGTGCATCTTTGAACCACTAAATAAAGTTACTGTATTGCAGAATATCTCGCGACCTCAAGGTATCATTGTTTTTATCGTTTCTATTCAGGCGCGACAAAAGATTTATCTTTAAAATTAAAGACGCATGAAACGATGGAATACGTCTCGAGAACGTTTTTCACGCGCCATACTATTTCTATTGCGTATATAAATCTGGCGTTTCTCTTACTTTCCGCATAAGTTATAATGCGAAACCAACAATGCTTGTGTGCATTGAGACCGCGACGCGGCGTGTACAACAATCGAACAACGGTTTGCGTGTTTTGTTCACGGACCCGGTATAAACATTTACTTATACCATTTATCACACAGAAATGAAGCTTTCTGCAACAGCAAAACTTATTTCAGACATACAAATCTACCCAAGAATATTTCCAATTAAGAGGACGGTGAATCTTCTGTTTTCATTTTGTAATTCAATTTTTTTGAAAAAACTGAGAAATATTAATCCAGTCATAAGAGCCGTTCGCATGATGTTTTGCGGAAAATATGCGTGTATATATATATATAAATCTTTAGTATATTTTCTTCTTTTCTGGAGTTTTTTTATTCCAAAAAATTTTTATTAAAAGTTTTTTCAAAAATTAATAAAGAATGAGTCATTCAGATTCTGAAGTTCTTAAGATTGAGAAATATAAATCCGTTTATATATATATACAGGGTGTCCCAGAAGTGCCATACAATCTCTCGTAGGCAGGTAGAAGGAGTAAAACTAAGTCGAAAAGTCCTGAACCATTTTTTATAATCGTAATTCTATTATTTATAATAAAGGAGTAATTATTGAGTAAATCAGGCCAATCAGCGCCGACCTTTAGCCAGGCGCACGTCAGTGAGCCGCGCGCCTGGTGTGTGTGAGCGCTCNCTGACGTGNNCCTGGCTAAAGGTCTGCGCTGATTGGCCTGATTTACTCAATAATTACTCCTTTATTATAAATAATAGAAAAAAATGGTTCAGGACTTTTCGACTCAGTTTTACTCCTTCTACCTGCCTACGAGAGATTGTACGGCAATTCTGTGACACCCTGTATATATATATATATATATATATGCACACATATTTTCCGCAAAACATCCTGCGAACGGCTCTTATGACCGGATTAATATTTCTCAGTTTTTTCAAAAAATTTGAATTACAAAATGAAAACAGAAGATTCACCATCCTCTTAATTGTAAATACTCTTGGGTAAATTTGCATATCTGAAATAATTTTTGCTATTTATCCGTGTATATATATATACACGCATATTTTCCACAAAACATCCTGCGAATTGCTCTTATGACCGGATTTATATTTCTCAATTTTAAGAACTTCAGAGCCCGAATGGCTCATTCTTTATTAATTTTTGAAAAAACTTTTAATAAAAATTTTTCGGAATAAAAAAACTCCAGAAAAGAAAATATACTAAAGATTTGCATGAAGCATAAGAATTCAAGAAAAACAAAAAAAAAAGTTTATAAACTGTTATTACATAGACTACATTTTCACTTTATATGCAAAATTGGCCGTACAAATCTAAAAAACAAAATACCTTTAACAAAAACTAGAAACATTGACGAATATTTTGAGTGCTTCTTGAGTGCTAACAATAAGATTAGTACAATTTTAACAGAAGCGCCGGACAGATACGTATATTTATTCTTTTTTCTATTATGTCATCTATCTTTATTTTGATCCGACTCAGCCCCGAGAGAAGGCGCCACTTGCTGGACAGCTTAGCGACTGAGTGACATCTGAGTTCTTTTGTCGCGCGTCGTTCAGCATCCTTGTAAATTACGAAATTGCTGGAAAGAGCTATCGAGTAAGGAAAAATCAATAATCAATTTTTTCGTATAAACTATTTTTCGAAGAAAAAAAATCGAAATAATTCCGAAGAAATCGAAATAAGTTTTAAATTAATATAAGGTGTCCAATAAGTGGTATAACATCTCTCGTAGGCAGATAGAAGAAATAAAAGTCAAAAAGTCCTATATCCTTTTGCGAAATTCGCAATAGTTACCGAGATTTTAATTAACAAAAATCCGCGAATAAGAATGAATCGGGCTATCTTACGCGTATAAGAAAAAATATATTTAAAAAATAAGAAGCATTTATTCAAATTTACAGGACGTCTTTTATTTTAGATCAATAGCGTTTGTAATTTTCAATGAAAGCAGAATCATCTTCAATAAGAGAAATGTGTGTACCCAAATAAAACCTACAGTACTGGACAAAATAAATCATACACCTTTTAACAAATTGAATTTGTTAGTGGTACTATTATTTTACTAAGTAAATAGAATATTAAATACAGAAAAATCAAAGCATTTCGAAGTACTTCAAAAAAACAAATTATGAAATAATGAAAATTTTGCTCAATTTGTTTGAAAACAACTTATTACTCATTATTGGTGCAATTTTTCCTGGACAAAATAAATCATACATTTAAGTAGATAACGTAGAAAACTGCCAATATTAACATTTCATCGTTCTGCTGCTATTCGTCGTGCTAATGTTTGTTTACATTGTATCTACGACTAGAATTTACGTGTTCGGTGAATCAGTGGTAACTGTGACGAGCAAGAACAATGTCACGAAAGCAAATTTCTCTTGATATTCAAAATTTAGTCATTCGCGATCGACAGAATGGTGATTCTTTCAGAAGAATCGCTAATACATACTCGATTTCTGTTGGAGCAGTGCAGCACATTTGGAAAAAGTACGAAACACATGAAATTGTGACAAATTATTCCGGAAAAGGTCGAAAGCGCGCTACAACTTTTTGTGATGACAACAGAATCGTTTGAATAATAAAACAAAATCCGAAGTTATCATCGCGAAACATCGTGGAATCGATGAACCTGACTGTCAGCAGTCGCACTGTGCGTCGTAGACTTAAAGAAGCCGGACTAAAAAACGTGTTCGCATCAAAGCGTTCTTTCATCAATAAAAGAAATAAAAAAAAGCGATTCGAGTTTGCCAAGAAGTACGCAAATATGTCTCTAGACTTTTGGAAAAAGATATTGTGGTCTGATGAGAGCAAATTTGAGATATTCGGACAAAAACGGCGGCATAGAGTGTGGCGAAAACCTAACGAGGCTTTGAAAGAAATAAATATTCAAAAGACTGTAAAACATGGAGGCGGTAATATTATGATATGGGGATGCTTTGCCTGGTCTGGTATCGGTAATTTGACTCGAATTAAAAGCATTATGACG